CCAGTCTAGTTGCCCCCAACTGACCCACCTGCTGGCCTAGTCACCCTTCACTGCCCCCTGCCAGCCTAAATGTTCTAAACTGACCCCCTGCCATCCTGGTTACCCCCAGCTGCACCCCCCTGCCATCTTGGTTACCCTCAGCTGCACCCCCCTGCCAGCCTGGTCACTTCATACAACTGCTTGTTTAGTAGGTTGGTTGTCCCTCACTAACCCCTGGTCGCCGCATGCAGCCTGCTGTCCATTTGTTTGATCATCCTTCACTAACTCCCTGCTGGCCTGGTCATCCCATGCAGCCTGCTGTTCAGTCATTTGGTTGCCCCTCACTAATCCCGCTGCTGGCCTGGTGATAGGCAGCCTTCTTATGAGGGTGTGAGGGTTAATTTGCATATTACCTCAATTATATAGGATGAGATCTATTTTTACAAGGAATTTAAAATGTTTTTCTTCAACTCATCTATAGATCTAAGCTTCATAATAACAATAAACAACGTACAAAATTCACACCTACAATAAACCATTCAGTGATCTAGATACTTTCATATACATCAAATTATAGCTGAAAGCATCAAAGTGCAATGAACTCTGGAACTATTAGGAATTTGTAATTTGAAAAGTTTTACTCAATCCCTACTCCCAAATGCTTTTAATTAGAACAGACTTTAATTAAGTACTCCCATGCACGAAGTAGAGCTTGGCCTTTCTGCCATATTAGCCTCCCGTACAAAAGAAAACAATCATTGTGTTGAAGGAAAATATTTTCTCTAAAACCGAACTATAAAAATTCTGGTTCTGGTTTCAAGTTGTTCATTTGAGACTCTGCGCACTGAAAGAAAGCCCCTGTCTCTGGGAGGACCATGAGAAACAGAACTAGAGAGGCAGTGACACTGATGGTCCTAGATGGAAAAGAGCCAGCCCCCCATCTCTGCAAGTCGGAGACATAGAGTCTCTTCCAGTGAGAGCCCAATTGCTTATGGGATAAAAGTGATATAGTAGAATGGACATGAAATTTGGATTCACATAAATAACAAATCACTTCACTTCCATTTGCTAGTCCTGCTAAAATGCTCAAAATATTTAACCCTTTTGAGCCTTCATGGCTATTTATAAAAGACAGTAAGGGATACCTATTTTGTTCAGTTTAGACTCGATATCTATAAAGTGCCCTGAACACAGTAGGCACTCAGAAATTAGGAGCTATCTGGATAATAATCATCATTGTCTTTATTGCCAATTTACTTGATCTTAAAGAAAAATTAGCATCCAATTGAGATATCAATGAATAATTGGTAAACCTGAGTCAGCATCAGGAACAAATAGGAAAAAATATTTTTCTGTGGCCAATGCATGCAGAAATTATATATATATATATATATATATATATATATATATATATATATATATACACACACACACACACACACACACACACACACACACACACCCCGTATTTTTCGGACCATAAGACGCACTTTTTTCCCCCCAGAAGTGGGGGGGAAAAGTCCCTGCGTCTTATGGTCCAAATATAGCCTACACATATACTTTAAAAAAAAAGTTTTTTTACTTGCCCTGCTGTGTGTGGTCTCTGTGTGCTTGCCCGGCTCTAAAATGGTTCTAAATGCTGCTGTTTACTTTACAGGGTTGATTACATGTGTTTATGACTGTGATGTTGGGTTTTAATGCACATAAAATATTTTAGGACACTATTTGTTTCAGAATCTTTTTTTCTTCATTTCCCTTCTCTAAAAACTGGTGCGTCTTATGATCCGGAGCGTCTTATGGTCCGAAAAATACGGGGTGTGTGTGTGTATATATATATAGAAAATAGTGCGTAGGTGTGGGATTGTCTAGTCAGAAAGTAAGTTTAATGCACAAAGAGCAGCCCTTAAAACAAAGCATATGAATAAGTCCTCTGAGTTTCAAGATGTGAACAACACTAAAGTCTTAGCCATGGAAGCACTCCTGGGATTCTGAAGAACTCCACACAGTCGCTTGTTTTTCCTAGGCTTCTCTGTGGCCTTACAATTTTTCTTGCTGTTTGAATAGTCAGGGAAGGCAAAAGTATTGAAAACATTATTATATAATGTAAAATCACGGCAAAGTTTGAATCATGGCCTCTATATCCTTCCATTTAACTTTCCATTTAATTTTTACTCAGGTGGTTTGTTATCCAAAGACTGAGATAGTTTTCGTAACTGAGAGGCCTGTTTTTAGCTCTGTGGGTACAGCCATATGTGGTTATTTGCTGAAGGCTACAGGACCAATACTATAACTTATCTGGAATAATATAAAATTAGCTATAACTTTTTTCTTAATTATTTTGAATTATGCATAAGTATGTTTCAATAAAGATGACAAAATTATAAAGTAGAATTGCTTTAAAAGTTAGGTTTTGTAGACAAAGGAAGAGAGAATCACTCTTGTAGGGTCTGTCCATGCCTCATCTATTTCTGCTTCCAGTTAAGTGTAAGGCAGATAATCTCTGATGTCTAAGTATTATTTAATCATATAAATGCCTTAATTGTAGCAGTTGGGATTTGTTTTATAACTGGAATCTTCAAATGCTTGATGCATTACTTCATCTGTTAAGAACACGCCTTAGTAAAAAAATGTAAAGGGAGCCTTATTAAAAGTAGAATTATTGTAAATCAGATACTGAACACACACATATAATTTATATAATAGCTATAAATTTATTTCATATAAGATGTATGATAAATATGCTTACACATTAATTATTATTGTTATATTTTAAAATAAATTTAGTTTTATTTAAAACAGATTCAGATAAACTTTAAAATTTCTAGTATGCTACAGATAATTATTTTTTATTACATAAGCATATTAATGAATATATTTTCCAAAAAATTAGCATTTAATACTGCACTAAAACTTTAAAAATTTATTTATTAATTGAATCATAGAGAGAGGAAGGGAGAGAGAGAAACATTGATCAGTCGCCTCCTGCAGGCTCCGCAATCAGGGATTGGACCTGAAACCTTGGTTATGTGCCCTGACTGGAAATCAAAGCCACCACCTCTTAGTATACATAACTGCACTCCAACCAACTGAGCCACACCAGCAAGGGCTGCAGTAAATTTTTGAAGAAAGAATGCTAAAGCATTCTCATTATTATTCTAATGGGGGAAAAGATATGGCTGCTTATTTTGTGTGTCACATCTTGTAGTAGAGACAAGTGCAATGGTGTTAATTCTTGGAGTGCTTGCATTAGAGAATGAATAGGAGAGTTCTATTTAGATAATTTTGATAGAAAGGAGAAGAAAAATAAGTGGGGAAGGAGGAGGCTTCTAAGAAGAAAAGCAGGCCTGAATATTCCTTTGCAATACAGAGGTTGGTGTGCCATACACTATGAAGGAGAGTCACTGAGTAAGAGGAGAGTGGTAATAGATAAGATTAGAGAGGGAGATTAATACCAAATTATGTAGCATCTTGTAGATGGTTATTATGGCTAGGGAATCTTTTATATTTTATTATTTTTTTAAAATGTATCCTTATTGTTGAATGTATTACAGATATCTCCTTTTTTCCCCTCTTGACCCCTCCACCCTACACCTGCCTCTTGCCTCCCCAGGCCTTCACCACACTATTGTCTGTGTCCCTGGGTTATGCATATATACATACAAATTCTTTAGTTGATCTCCCACCCCTGCCTTTCCTCTGAGTTTAATCAGTCTGTTCCATACTTCTAGATCTCTGGTTAACGAATTATTTTTATATACCCACTCTTCATTATTAGATTTGTTCTACCTAATATGCTATAAACATCATAGACAATTATAAAATTATTTTTCAAGACTTCTTTTTTTTTCTTTCATGTACAAAAATTTTAAAAACCCATCTTGAGCACTGAAATGTTAATTTTGAGCAAATTACTTGTCCACAGGTTTTGTGAAGAGCCTCACAAATAGAATTTGAATTTGGGGCAAATTGAGGATGTCTCTTTCCTCTCTCTCTATCTCTCTCTCTCTGATACTAGGAAACATCGTCTATTAAGAAAACAACAACACTAAGAATGAGAATGATATTCTTAACATAATTGAATATACGAGAGAAATAATGAGACCATTAAAAAGAGGGAGAAGTACAGATCAATTAATTAATGACTAAGAATTAGACAATTTTGGTATAAATATCAGCGGTCTACTTCTTTGGTTACTTCTACAATAGGTTTTAAAACTTGAAATGCAGGCATATTCTATACAGATATATTTAAAGTTTATACCAAACCACAAGTGGACAGTTTGGAGAGTGTGACATCTGAAAAATAGGCTTATGTTTAGTTTTGTTTTCTCTCTGGATTTTTGATTTCCTATCTCATTCATTCAAATGCATTTATGAATATGTCCAATATTTTATTTCCTTTTTTCTTTTTTCACATAACTCTGTTACCCAATTGGTGAAAGTTAAGCAATACATTTTGATCTTAACATTTAATTGTTCAGTTACTCTCCAGTCAAGGGTGAAAGGTAATAGTTTATTGATAGTGATGAAATTACATGGGTGGCTTTCATATAAATAGCAACAAATATAGAAAATAGTTACTTTATATGGTATATTTAACAACAGTGCTAAGGAGAAAGACTGGAACTTGATCTTTGTGATGAAGATACACCTGACTGCATCAGGAGAAAATTTAGTTCTGCAAGCCTGAAGAAAATAATTGTCATTCAACAGAAGCAATTAGCTTTGCATATCAATAAAACACACACAACACATACTCTTATCTATTTTTTGAGTGCTCTGGAACTGATAACAAAATAGCAAATATATATTTATGAGAACTAGAAATGTTGTGTTCATTTCAATCACATTAACTCAATGTAATTATGAAGTTAACTTTGAGACTATGTGAAAAATGTTACTTCCTAATCAAGTGAAGAGAGACTAAAATCCACAAATTTGATATCAGGCTATGTAGTTTTTATATTCACATTTGTTGCCAAAATGTCATCTCATTAATTATTTTTATTGTTTGCTTTTAGATGGAAGACTGTATTTGAAAACTACTGTCATGTACTGAATCTTTCCTGTTGAAGAAATCCATGTTATAGTAAAGAACTTTGCAGTCAGACATTCATCGTTGAAAAGTTTGGAAAAAAATAAAAGTCCTTTTAAGGGAACTGCCTCAATTTTGTGTATTAATGTTCTTTAAAAGTTTAAGTATTCTACAAAAAAAATTCCTCCACTGATTTTCACCTATGGTTATACCAGAGACCTGAGAATGTTTGTAAATGTACAAGTATCAAACTTCTTACAATGAGTATCTGCAACTTTGCTGCTGGACACTTGTATACAGAGCTAAAGGCAGGTCTGTATAAGACCTAGCTTTGTTTTTTTAATGGAATGAACCATTTTCTTCTTCTGAATATTCTGTATCTGAGCACATCAAGAGACTCCTGTAGCAGTGGTCACCCAGACTTACAGAATTATGTCCTCCAGAAACCAGCAAGAACACTTGGAAATGAACTTATAGGAGGCATAGAGGATTCCTTAAAAGTCAATACAATAAAGAGTAATATTCTGTTACATTCTATTTTAAACTCTCTAATTGTGGGGTTTCTCCTGAAGATGTTTTTTCACATACTTCCCAAAAGGCCAATAAGTGGATATTGACAACAACCCAGTGAAATAACATTTTGAGTATCTGGAAGGAAGTATTGAATATAAGCCAAAAGGTTTCACTGAAGGTCTTTTTTTCTTTTAAAGAAAGGAAACACAAATGCAACATGTTTTCATTCCTGACTGGTAGTGGTATATAGAATTGAAAATAATAATGATGCTTCTTATTCAAACTGTTGGTCACATGTACAGTATATAAACATAAAACATACAAGGAAGGTATGTATGTATGCAGTAGTATACTAGAGTTTAGAAAAATGAAAATTTTAGAAAATATGTTTTGTCACCCTGTTGGTCAGAAAGACACCTTTCTGGTTTTAACGCATGCAGGCATGTAAATATCTGTCTGGAGTCACAGTATTAATGAATGAGATCTTAAGCATCTGGTGACATCAGAACTCTGTGTCAGCCATTTTTATTTGTATATTGAACCCTAGTTAGTGCCCCAAGCTGCACTATTGAGAATGGATTGTGGCTGAACAGTAAATTGAAGCACCAGAAATATTTTTATATGTTAACGTCATATTATGTTAATGTTGCTGAGAAAAAACAAAACCTGACAAACCCTTGATGTATCAGTCCAATACCATGTAGCGCTGAGTGATAAAGTTAAAATGTGTTGTGCTTCCCACCCTAGTCAGAGGGAAGGGTGCTTACGTGTTATTTTCACTGTCTTTGGAGAGTTACAGTATATGTTTCCACTTTGTGCAGATAACTGGAAGTAAAGCTGCAAACAGTGCGTATTATATGCTAAAGTTACCTTCTCTTTGCTTTTCCATACCTGCAGTTACATCTTTAAAGGCTGACACTATGAATCAGTACAGTTATGATTCATTTTATGATTTTGCTGTCACATTAAAATTTATGGTTGTAACATTATTTATTACCATAAATGGCAAAATCTTAAATATCCAAGGAAACTAGCTTAAAATGTTCAAGTAGTTTGGATTTGGATTAATTATTTGGTTAAGAGAAAAATATTATACATACTCTGGCAGTAAGCTTCAATAGTTTGTAGGTCTTTCTTGTAATACTGGAACATACTTCTTTTGTGTAGCTCACTACAAAACAGCGAAGTCCATTTTTTTTAATACAATATAAAGGTTATATATACAGTTCCTATTTTAGCTTGCTTTAAAGGGAGTAATATTTTTATTTAAAATACTGTTAGTTAATGCTTTGTAGAAACTTGGGTTTCTAAGCATAGTTCTTCCATTAACCATCTCTTGTTTGAGCGCAGAAGATTCTAATCCTAGTTGTATCTATTTCTTGCTTTTCTCTGTATGCAGTCTTTAAAGGATTACAACACTTACAATTGGAGGGACTTGTGGCAAGCTTTTGAATCATACATTTTTTAACGATTTTTTTTTTTTTAAAAAGCCTACAACTTACATATGTAGTAGCACCATTGCTCTGCTCCTTGCATAGAGTCACCTGGTAAGTAGGTTAAGTAGTTTTAAAATACATACTTTCAAGACCTTTGAGAATGCTTTAGGATTGGGTTTGATATAAAAAAATAGCAAGGATTAAAGAAAAGAGCTATCGACTATATGTTAAGAGAGAATCTTACTAACACTGTTGTAAATATTACAATTCATGAAATGTTATTTTAAGTCTGTAACTTAAGTTTACCCCCACCTTTTTTTTTTTTTTTTTTTTTTTAGTTATATAGGTTGGTTTGAAATTTGTTTTGGTATAAACAAGTAAAATTGTGCCCATTTTATGGTTTCCATGCTTTTGTAATCCTAGAAATATTAATGTCTAGTTCTATATTATAACCACATTTGCGCTCTATGCAAGCCCTTGGAACAGAACATACTCACCTTCATGTAGGACCTATGAAAATTGTCTATTTTTATCTATATATTTAAAGTTTTCTAAAAATGATAAAAGGTTATTACGAATTTTGTTGTACAAAATCTGTACAAAAAAATCTGTTTTTACATCATAATGCAAAAATTGGAAATTTTTCTATGGTAGCCTAGTTCTTTGAGTCTGGTTTCAATGTGAGAACCATGTTTACTGTTATTGTATTTAATTTTCTTTTTTCTTTTCAACAATCTCCTAATAAAACTGTCTGAAATCTCCCTGTGACTTTATTTACAGTTCGTCTTTATTAGATTTTGTGAAATGCATAGCATTGAAGGAATATTTACTTTCTAATGGGAGGCATCTAAAAACATCATAAGTCAGCTCTTTGCAATGCGAGGGAACAATGCTCAATGATTTTATTTAACATGCAACTGCTTCTATCTCTAATATGAATTACTGTGGTGAAAAATATCATAAAAGCACACTCTGTAGTTATTGTTTAACAAGCAGATTTTCCATATTTTGTTTCTTGCCAGCTAAGCAAACTTCCCACATATACATGATTTATTTATGTACATTTCTCAGTTTATGAAGCTGTTATTTGTACCTTTTTCCTTTATATTCTTATATTCCCATGATTCTTATTTCACAAAGCTTTGTGCTGAATAATGTAAAGTAGACATGTTGATGGAACAAAATATATTATTCCCATATCTATGAGTGTATATTTGTAACTCTAACTCAGTGTTTTGCTTTTGATCTCTATCACTGGAAAAAAATGCCTTTAGAAACTTTGAAATTTTAATATCCTTTAATAATATATAAGCATTTTAATCAATCCAAAACGCAGCATTTGAAGAAATATTAGGTTGCTATCTCTGTGAATATTCTAAACTCTCCTAAGAGAATGGAAAATGGATTTTTTTTCTGTCTAAAGAAATTATTTCAATAAGTTAACAAATTACGATCTTTCCCTAATAAACACCCAAAATGTTTATGCCACCCTTACAATCACATTTTTGTCTTCTGTCATCGAATGTTTATGTCAGTAAGATTTGTACTGGAGTAGCATACAGTCTCTAGATGTTAGTGGAATTTGGTGGTAATTTAAGATTTTCCCAATGTGTTTTCATTTGGGCTAGCGAAATTACAGTCTGCACAAAGCTATTTATCACTAGAGGAGAGTAAATTATGAATAAAGGTTACATTTTTAAAATATGGCAAATGGCGATGTTAACAGAATTAAAAGTATTGTAAATGACATTGTAAAGATATCATATTTTCTCATGTGTAGGCTTGGTGCTCACATTTATCTTTAATATGTACAACTGGTATATAAAAGCAGAGTTGATCCTCATTTATTGATTTAAGCAGATTCACTAATAAAGCCTCTGTTCTGCACCAAGCACTGTGCTAGATCTTTTAGTCACTGAAATTGAAACATAGTTGTTATCCCAGAGGAGCTTATCCTTCCTGTTGGAATCAGATCTTACTTTCAGCAAGAAAGGATGCATTGAGAATCTTTTACTCCATAGTGAACATACTGCTGGTCCGAAGAGGGTATTGTTTCCTTACCATTAAGTGGTAACAATCTAGTGACCCACAGTGTACATTCATCTTCTGGAGAACAGTACAAGATTTTTGGGGAGTCAGATGATTCTGGAGGAATTGGGAAAAGCATGGACACATTTTCCCCTAAGTAAAAATAATACTGTTGTAGTGATATGATTTTTCATTCATTTCAATCACAGCACTCTCACAGCTCACAAACTTTCCTTTATGGTAGGTAGCTGGTTTAATCACACAAAAATGTTTTATCATTAACAAAAAATAAATTTCTAATATAGTCAGACTACTGCATATAGACCTACCATATTCAATTATTGAATATTATCAACCAGTATATATATATATATATATGTGTGTATATATATATGTATATATATATATATATATATATATATACATATATACATATATACATATGGTAAGTACTTGCCTCAAAGGATTCAAACATAGAGCAAACATTTCTGAATGCCAAGTGAGTGTGTTAGATAATGAGCAACTCTTGTAAAGGGGGCATCATTTACATTTATAGGTCAATGATCTTGAGCTTTTGAGTTAAACTATTGGGTCAGTTAGGACGGTTAGATGTAACAAAAACAAATCCCTGCAAGTTTAAACCCTATAAGAATTTGGTTATAAAGACCGAGAAGTACACAAGCCAACACAAGCCAGAAATGCAGTTAGCCCCCAGGGACCTAGGACCCTCTACAATCTTCACGTTTCTGCTTATCAGTGACTCTGCTTCTTCCTCCCCACACTGCAGGCCTATTTGCTTCTCCTATTTATCTCCTGACTTCTCTATTACTCAGGAGCAAAAGAGCCATCCCACAGAAGTAATTCAATCATTTTCTCTCATCCCAAATCAGATTCCCTGAGAGTTTTGATTGCCTTAAGTCAGGGCACCTGTCAGGGAGGCAGCTTGGCAGTACAGTGGATATATCTGGGGAAGGTTAGAAACTACTGTGTCTAATGAAATTTGAATCTCTGGGGGTTGGAGTTAGGGCATCATATCTTTACATTTCTAAGTTTCTTGGGTGATTCTAATGAGCAGCAAAGGTTGCAAGCCATTGTCTGGGGTAATTCTCAGTGTAGGGAGAGAAAATATTTAAGAAAATCTATCTATATAAAAGCCTAAGAGACCATCACAACCAAATGGATAACTGAACAAGCTGCATAGGGTGACCAGGCCTGCATGGGGGGCAGTTGGGGGCAACCAGACCAGCAGGGGGGCAGTTGGGAGTGATCAGGCTGATAGGGGGCAGTTAGGGGTGAACAGGCCAGCAGGGGGGACAGTTAGGGGAGATCAAACAGGCAGGCAGGTGAGTGGTTAGGAGCCAGCAATCCAGGATTATGAGAGGGATGTCCTGGACTGGAGAGGGTGCAGGCTGAGCACTAAGTTTTCTGTATATATCGATATTTGTAATAATACCTGAAGCAGCCACTAAAAATGCTATATTGCCTTGGCCAGCATCTTTAGTGGTTAGAGCACACTCGAGGGTCTCAGATTCGACTCCCAGTCAAGGGCACATACCTGGGTTGCAGGTCAGATCCGCACCCCTAATCTGGGTGTATGTGGAAGGCAACCAATCTCACATGGATGTTTCTCTCTCCTTCTCTCTCGCCCAGTCTCTCTCAATAGAAAAAATATTCTCACTCCTTCAGTGAGGATTTTAAAAAAATGTTATGTCAATATTACACTCAAAAGAGGTACAGATAAATCAAGGTGGACTCAATACTGTAGTAAGGTTAGCTCCCACATAAACAGTAATTTCTTCTTCTTTTTTTTTTTTTTGTAATTCATTCAGAGCTTTAAGTTACTTTGCTTGTAGTTTCCAATCCTCTCTCAAGTACTTTGGCTGCTCTTTCAACAATGCTAATTGGGTATCAAATTTTGCTATATTAAGGGACAGATTAAAAGTTGGTTTATTTATCCCCAGAACTATACATTTCTATTCTCTATTGATTGTGTGTACTCATGGCTAAGAATATACTTCAAATTGATATTTTTAAAAATAAGGACTAAAAAGGTAACTATTAAAAAACTTCTCTCCCTTTTGTTTGTAAATCCCATTGTTGGCTTCTAACCCAAGAGTAGCAGCTGGGAGACATTGATACATGTCAGCTCTTTTCTCACTAACTCATCTCTTAAATTTACAAAGACCAAGGGGCTCCAACTGAGTTGGATCTTTCATTCAGATCCATCTGTTTGTTATACGACTGGGTTCATTTATGTTGAATGGATTTGGGCTCTTTCTATTAATAAATTATATGCTTTTTACAATATGTACTTTCTTTCTTATCCCACAGGCAGTAACCATACACATCAGGGTATAAATGAAAATGAACAAATTCTCAGGAAATGAACTTGTCCTGCAATATAGAACAGAACTGGGCATAAATGGAGAATCTGATCCAAGAGCCACAAGGCAAACAATCTCATAGCACAATGCATTTTTAGGGGAGGAAGATTAAGGGAGTAGTAGAAAATGCTTAATTGGCTAACAAAAATGATAATTTAGCACCTAGCTGACAAGAATTCAAAGCTGATTCCCTGTGGGTTTGGAGGACACTGCCTCATCCTCAGGGAGATTCAGCCAAATGCACCTATACAGGGTGGGAAAAGTAGGCTTACAGTTGATTGTATGGAAAATAATACAACATTTAATCAACAATAATATAAGAATAAACTCTGCATTTCATGTACTCATAATTGTAAACCTACTTTTGTACCACCCTATATTTTGGCAGGTCACCTTGAAGTCCTCTTTTATCTGCTGAGTATTCAGAGTTAGGCCCAGCAATCTCCTGCTTGTTCTCGCATCTGTACTACGTGTATCCACAAACACCAGGTATGTTTGTCAGAGCACTAAGTCAGACACACATTCCTACCATGTAAAGTTCAAGACTAAGACACACATTGGTCCTTTGTGTCCAATAGCCTCTAGAGGACAATGAGCAGGTCCTCTGGTCCCAGTGAAGTCTCTTCCCTAGGCTTTAGATGAGAGACAGGCACCTGTCACTTCTTATGGATGATTGTAGGCATTTGGACCTGAAACCACCCACAGCCTTCACCAACAATTTTTTCCTCAATTCTTTACCCCACATCTTATCTCTTGTAATGTCTGTAGGTGGATAGACAGCTAAAGTCACAAAGTTAGTTTGCAGATCACTATTTACAAGTTTTGCATGATGACCTTGCATCTTACCTTGAAAGGTGGTATTCATTTTATTTATTTTTTTTAAATAATAAAAGTTATTTAATTTTAAATTTTAAAAAATTTAAACACAGATAATTATAGACTAAACATAGTTGTCAGAAATAACAGAGACATGCCATGCACCCTTCAACTATTTTTCCCAAGGTTAACATTTTGCATAAATTTATTATAGTATCTAAACATGGAGATACTGTAGACATCTACCAACTTTATTCAAATTTCACCAGATTTATATGTACTCATTTCTATGTGTATGTGTGTGTTTATTGTATGCAATATTATTACAATTGGAGACTTATATGAGCAGCACTCCAGTCAAGGCACAAAATAGTTCCATAATAAGGACCCCTCATGTTATCTTTTTATACCTTCAACCTCTTCCCTTACGTGTCTGTGTAACTCAGTGTTCTCCAGAGAAACATAATCAAATATATATATATATATATATATATATATATATATATATATATATATATATAGAGAGAGAGAGA